CCCCTACAAGTCGTCATTCGGGTGCATCGTGGCTATTCTGATTCTCTGCCTTTGTCTTCCGGTCAGAACGATGGGCTCTTTGGAGATCAACACAGTCACGGTTCCTCTCACGGACACATGGGTCTGATTTCACGGCCATCTGGTGTCCCGTTCTTGGGTTCAGCCAGGGGGTGGTGTCCCCAGTGACACCGACTACTAAAGCATCTGCTTCGTCTTTCTCAAGTGAGCATTATACAGACTCATCCACCCCCAGCTAGAAGCAACCCCCTACCATCCTACTCATTCTGACTCACAGGGGAGTCCTGCTCCACGGGGTTTCTGAGACCATGCATCTTTATGGAAACAGAAAGCTTCATCTCTCTCCCAGGGAGTGACTGATGAGCTTGAACTGCTGACCTTGTGGTTTGTGGTCCAACATCTAACGAAGTATGCCACCGAGGCTTCACTCATTCATGCAAGTCCAAAAATACAGATAGAAGAGTTCTGGAACAAAGAATGGCCCTTACTGTGTCTGATCAGAAGGAGCCACGGTGGCACAGAGGATACATGCCGGGATGCCCACTACCAGTCAGCTCAAGCCGGTCCAAGGGAGAAAGACCGAGCTTTCTATTCCCATACAGGTTTATAGACTCAGAAACCTATAGGGGCAGTGCTATTGTCCTACAGGGTCACCATGAGTAGGAATCAATCCCATGTCAGTGATAACATAACACATGATGATAAAAGAACATAACACCATTTATATAAATTGCAATTGGATAAAGCATATTTTTACAGCTGACATAAATGACCCTACAATCATGAAACTGATTTTAAAACGTACACTATAAAAACAAAGCAGAAATACTTGCGGAACAGTATACGAAATTAATTTCATGACTACCTAACGGAGTGTTGTACATGTAAAACACACTTAAAATATACAGATATATAGTCTAGTTCAAAATTACATGAACGACCTCACGGTTAGAAAGAGTCTTATTCCAGTCTGTGAGATTGATGAGTTTCACGCCATCAGACACATCATCTAACGTTAAACTGAGTCTCAGTTTCCTGACCTTTGCATCTATATGTAATTATTTAATCTTCCATGGTCGGGGAAGGCTATTAAAGGATACTGCATTTCCTTAAGTGCAGCCTGCGTCTACCCCCCTCCTGTTCTCTTTCTGAAACGGTTCAGATTTCCCTTTGTAACGCATGGGCTCCTTGGACGTGGCTGACTTTGCTTTCCCAGGAAAGCTGCTGCTCTCTGTGGGTGCCGTCGAGACTGGTGAGGAGATGAATATGACACATGGGCTAGAGGGTCAAAAACAAGTACGGCTGAATCCCCAAAACCTCGTGATAGGATACTGGGGAGGGAGCCGGGAAGACAACAAGATTTGCCTCTGTTTTATAAAAGGGGCTCTGTGGAAAGGAATGGGATATGGATAAAACAGGGTAACGGCTTTTGGGAATTTAAGGTATTTCTTAAGTCTCTCTGACTTCAGTCAGTAATGGGACTGATAATGGAGTACCCATTGGCCTAACACACACACACACACACACACACACACACACACACACACACACACGAGTTGGAACCTGAAAACCGAGGAAACCATTCATTCTGGATTAGTCCCGGTCAAAAGTTCTTCCTTTGATCTATGAAAGGAAATGGAATAAACACACGCCAGGGCCACAGAGTGTGCGGAGAGGCCTTGGTGCTAGGGTCTCACACATACATCCTGACGAGTGAAATTACACGAACCAAGAGCCATGGACTATTCATTCTTCCTGAGAACGCTGTGTACCGTGAATGGCAGGGCGAGGTAACTGACCAGGTTTGTTCCCTTAAACAGTAGGCAGGAGGAACATAGGAAAATGGAAAGGCAGGGAGGCGGCATGAAGGGAGCAGGAGTTACACTTGCTGGAAAAAGAACCTGCTCTACATGTTTGGACATCCTTCTCTGCTAAGTGTTTTCTGATGAAAGCATTCTTTAACACAAACACCGTCCTGCCTCTCTGAAAAGGACCGTAAAGACTGGATCCCAAAGGGCACCGGTTTATGGTTTAAAAATAACTTAACGACGTGGCATATACCTACCCTTCAAACACCTGGGCTGTCTGATCCGGGTTCAAGATCAGACAGCTGTGGTAGCGCCGCAAAACGGCCACGATGCAGACACACAGCCCCGTGGTGTAACTTCCTGCCAGGCTGGACGACTTCAGCAGCAGCTCGGCTTCCACGACACCCAGCTCGTTCAGCAGCTGCAGCGGGAGGCGAGACGGGAGACAAATGCAGCTTCCTCAGCAAGTGGGACGAGCACCTACTTTTAAACCCACAGACGGAGCGAGCCCTCCTTTCACTCCTCTAAAGCCGCCCAGGGACGTAACTACGGCCTGAGAACAGACAGCCCCATGGAGGGAAGCTCTTAGTTGATTTGTAAACCATGCATCAGTTTGCTCGTTTTCAGTGGTCATCGTTGCCGTTTCGTTTGTTGTCTTTCTGTCTAGACATCACAGGGCGATCAGGAAGTACCGAACACGGAAAAAGTGACTGAAACTCTCTGGAAGCCCAAAGCTGTGGACTCAGTATTTTCAGAGAGAAGGAGACGCCGGTCCCTTCCTCCCTCCCCACCTTCTCGTCCTCCCTTGCCTTTCCAAAAAAAAAAGAAAGAAAGAAATCATGTGTCACCATCGGCTTACTAACCAAACAGCTAGCTCCTCCAGCAGAATAAGCAGGGGCAGGGTTGATAAAGGAGCGCCCGACAGTAGCAAAGCAAGAGCATCGTCTTACACTCGTGACCCAAAGCAACAGCTCAGCGCTCCCACATGCTGTCCTACAACTGTGTGCTGATCAATATTATTTTATGAAAAGACGTGAGCAGAGCTGCAATTGGAAACTACGACAGGGGAAACAAAAACGTGGTCACCTTAATGGTATGGGAGTGGGCTTCCAAAGGCTGGAGGGAAAGACAGTATCGTCGTTCCACGAACTTTCTGTAAGCCCCTCGTTTACCCACCCCGAGCCCCATGGCCACCAGGGTGATCCCAACTTGTAGACTGCTCTACGGCAGAACCGTTCCACGGAGCCTCTGAGGCTGTAAAGCTGAACGGACTCAGACGGCCTCATCCTTGCCCTGTGGAGCAGCTGGTGGGATCAAACCGCCAATGTTCTGCCTGCCGGGCAGCCCAGCACTTAATCCACTGCACCACCAAGGCTCCATCCATTACAAAGTGGAATCTGAAAGGAAAGCTGCTCACATGTCATGCATGACCCCCCAAAACCAAACTGACTGCCACGAGTTGATGTTGACTCACAGCCACCCTACAGGACACAGGGGAGAACTGCCCCTGTGAGTTTCCAAGAGTGCTAACTCTACAGGAGTATGAAGCCCTGTTTTTTTTCCTCCGATGGGGCGACCGATGGTTTTGAACTGCGGACCTTGTGGTTAGCGGTGCAACTCACATCCACTACACCATCAGAGCGCCTCACATGTCATGAGGAATGTTTAAAGGCCTTCATTATTATAAGAAATACTGGGTCCTGAAGACAGGAGCCCTGATGGCACTGTCAGGTCAGTGCTGGACTGCTAACTCGAAGGCCAGTGGTTCAAAACCACCAGCCAGTCCATGGGAGAGCAACGAGGATGTCTGTCTCTGGCCATTAGGAGCCAGAATGGACTTGGGGGCAGGTGGTTTGGTTTTTGCTTTTGAAGAGCATGTGCACAGGGAGTTTGCCTCGCTTCGCTCAGTAGCTTCACGTTCCCCCCAAACTTAAGGACCTGTATTGCAAAGTCGATGAGCCCGTTGATGTTCAGAGCAGGCTCCATGAGGTCAAAGATCAGCTGGATGTGGTGAGCCAGCGGGAGATGATAGGACGTTCCCGAGGCGAAGCTGGTGATCTGCTCCAGGACGTTGTTCGAGATCTGGGGAGAGACGGAAGCGGTGAGGAGGGAAGAACGCCGAGCGGTGAAGGGCTGGCCGAATGTTTTTAAAATAAGCGTTCGAATGGACATGTGAGTCTGACCAGGAGAAAGTTAGAGCATTGCTACAGCATGCAACTTGCTCTCTCCCACTGCAATTTGAGGAAACATGCCGGGTCTTCATCAGGCTCTAGGCATGTGACTACTCTAAAGGCAGAATGCCCGGGCGCTGGAATTTCCAAAAATACCTACTAGTATCAACGGATTGGCAAGGCAAAATCGATTTGATTTCTTCTCAATTTCTGACGAGCTTGTGTCAGTTATCAGATTTTTCTTCCCATCAACATAGGAAAAAAGCAACTGGGAAAAAAGTATCCCTAGAAAGGCATGGCTCTGGAGATGAGTTTGTGCTGTGCATTATAATATTTGAATACGAAACATTTGTTAGGTGCCAGCAGGTCAGTGTCAGCTCATGGCGACCCTGCGTGACAGACGAGAACTGCCAGATCGGGTTTCTTGGCTGTCACCTTTAAAGGACAGACTGCCAAATCTTGTTCCTTCAGGGGGCCTGGGGAAGTCTGCACTGAAAGCCTCCTCTAGCAGGACTCTGAGAAAGATCAATTCTCCTGTGGAAGGCAGCTTGAACTACTCAAAGGTGTGGAATGCTTCCAAATTAGGTTTGTAAAACAAGACCACCCAAGTCAGAAAAGCTTTACGGCATCAACAAGTAATATAAGAGTAATGTTTGGGGAAGCAGGACTGCCCCAGGGCACAAGGAAGCGGCCTTCAATTGGTACCTGAGACGTCACTTGATGCTGATCGAAATAGGAGAGGAGCTGAAGCTTGGTGAACACCGTCTCCGGGGTTGGAAAGGCTTCTTGCTTGTTCTTCCTGGCTTTGGGGCCTTCATCCCCACCTGAATACGACACGGAGACGTGCGATCGGCTAGTGACTAGATGCTCGAGGCAGGGGTTCTCACCCTTCCACGTGCTGCGGCCCTTTCGTACAGGTCCTCATGTGGTGGGGACCCCCACCATAACATTCTTTTCGCTGCTACTTCATCACTGTCATTTTGCTACTGTGATGAATTGTCACGTAAATATCTAATATGCAGGATGTATTTTCACTGTTACAACTGGAACACAGTTAAACAAAATTAAAGCACAGTGCTTAATCACAAAACAATATGCAATTATATATAGTGAAATATGTGTTTTCGATGGTCTTAGATGACCCCTGTGAAAAGGTCGTTCAACCCCCAAAGGGGTAACGACCCCCAGATTGAGAACCGCTGTTTTAAGGGGTACGTTTCTGTGAAGTAGAACATACGTATACCCAAACACAAACACACCCTGAAAGTTTCTACAAAGCGAACACACTCAGCTAGCGACTCACATCAGAACAGACCACAACGCCCGACACCCTCACCCCTCTTCAGTCAGTGTGTGTGTGTGTGTGTGTGTGTGTGTGTGTGTGTGTGTGTGAAGGTTCTGATTTATAACAACTTGGATTCACATAACGTCCATGTTAGAATTCCTTACACAGGGAATCAAACATGACGCACTTTGCAAGCGTGGCTTCTTTGGCTCACTATTATAATATTGAGCTCAACCCACATTGTTTGTCATGCTAATTTATTTATTCTCGAGGAAGCACAGCATTGCAATGCGTGAAGATGCCACCATTTGCTTACCCCGTTCTAGGGAGCACTTCCTAGATTTGGGCTATTATGTAAAAAAAAATTTTTTTTTAAAAGCTTTAATGAACATTTCTAACGGTTTACTGTAATGACTGTAATTCCCACCAATAACAGGAGGGAACTTCACTTACACGTCACGTCTGAGCACCTCAACTCTGGTCCTTTTCTCCTGTTTGTATGTGAGCCCAGCCCATGGCCATGCAGTTGACAGGAAAGGCAACGCAGGAAGGAGCAATTAACACCATCCGTCTGGCATCAACCTACTTGTTTTTCCCCAAACATCCCCAAAGGAACACCCGAGAGGTCACTGTGACTGTTTAAAACAACCAGCTTTTGAATCGTTCCATTACTAAAGTCATTGGGGCCAAGGCTAAACAGCTCGTGTCATTAATCGTGCTTTAAAAGTGAAGTTAACGTACTCATATTTTACTACCTCTATTGGGGCCAAAACAAACAAAACAACACACGTGAGTAAACAGGCCCAACCTAAGGGCTCATAAATGCACCTTCTCTGGGGAGGAGAGGGTGGTGGTGGAGGAGGCCCTAACAGGCCCCATTACCTACATATCACTAACTTCTTAGTTTCCTATAAAGTATATATACCTACTCCTCACTGATTGAATATCGCACTAGCCAACATTTTTCATTTACAGGCATAGTGAAACAAACAAACAGAAACAATCTTTATGACCTTAGTATCAGGTAAGGACTCAAGGGTGTTCAATAAGAGACTGTCTCCCTCTCTAGTCTCAAGTCCTTCATCCCTCACATCTCATCCTCTCTCCAGTCCTGGATGGAGATAAAGTTAGGAGGGGGTG